CTGCACTCTGGGGTCCTCTTAACTATTATTTCAACCGGAAGGTCCGGTGGGGGTATGTGAAAACACAAATGGGGGGCGCGGGGCCTCGCGTGCCTCGCGCATCTGTTGCGCTCAATACACGGGGTAAATACACCGGCAAATAACACGAGGCCAAATGCATACACTCAAGAATTACTAGCATTTTTACATCCTTGTGGCTTCCTACCTATTTTCAACGTGTTTACGGTTATTTGTTTAATGAAACGCGTTTAACATATCATTTTTATGAATTCATTATCACTAAATTCAACCGAGAGAATGTGAACAATTTTTTTGGTTGACTAATTTATAGTTTAATGACAGGATGCCCTATTTTTTGGTTGGAAATGTTACCGAAATACAGAAAAGAGCTATATTTATTTTTTAGCGCAATCATATTGGAAAAATTCGTATAGTAAAATTGGCCAGGATTATCTTGGGAATTTTCGCACAATTTTTTTCCCTGTGTAATCAACAGTAAATCGAATGGAAGGGTTTTTGGAATTGATGTCGAGGGGAAACTGATAAAAAATACCATGAACGGCATCGATATGTCATGTCTCCGACAGTCAATGTTTCATTGCCGGTGAGCTAACAGTCCGGGAGACATTGGTGGCTTTCACCGCGGTGGTCTGCTCCCTACATTCAGAAGTCCCACCAATAATCTCAATCTCGCCTACCATCAATTCATTTATCCATCGACAAAAACAGACGTTAATTTTTCTTGCTCAATTAAAAAAATTTTTATTTCCGCGCTAATACAATCATCGCGCGTTTCGAATACATATTTTTAGATAAACCGCGGATGAATCACTACTTGGCGAGATCCACACAACAATTTCCCCTCTCACGGACTCGGGAATAATTGCCTTTTTTCATAAATCGCTTGAAATCCCTCAACCACTTGCGCTCAAACGAAATCGACGGGACATCAATTCCACATCGGAAGACTTTGAATTAATCATGAAATTGCCCAGAAAGCTACGACAACGTAAATATAAATTACCAAAACCAATTAGTCATCGATCGATACCTAATTACAGCTAGAAATTACTCGACATATCATATTCTCCGAAAGAGATACGAATTCGTGGATTCGCTGGGTTTGACTCATCGTCACGCGACTCACTCATGGTCGTAATACAAACGACATTACCACTTTTGTTTCACTCCAAGATAGAATAATAATCCCACAGCATGTGCATACGTCTCGACTTGAATAATTCCTCCCGAGGTAACACCGTGAATTTGAAATAAGACCTAGACGAGAATTTTCCTATTTCAAGTGAAATTCACATCGATATTAAACCTGTCTGGAGTAACGAATAATACGAATAATTCTTTTATACTGACTAGGGCACTTATGAATTATTTTCCAGTTAAAATTCCCTATCCTTGATATGAGTTGTCCCACGCTCTCCCATGGCAGTCATCGCTCATCACGATTTATTTTCTCTGAAATACTCTGGTGGCATCTCCCGCCCGCGTGACTCACACACGCGCCTCTTCGGCTGCTGTCTGATGACTTCTCAGCAAGTGCTGCCCCCACACGGGAATTTCGCAAACTTTTCACCCCTCCGCACTTCTCCTACCCCCCTTGGTCACCAAGCTTCAACGGATTGAGGAGGGATCAGCGGTGGGGGAAAAAGGACAACTGCGTGGGGCAAAGGCAATTGGAGTGGGATTCGAGAGGGAGAGCCCGAGAGAGAGATACATGAAAATGTGGATGTTAAAGTTTTGTCCATTCAAACTTGATCCTTTATGATTTCGTGTATGTGTCTGGACATCTATAATATAATCTCGTTTGGGGGAGCAACCGGTACACGACTCGCAGGTTTAATTCGCGCACTTCTTATTACGTATTGGTACTTTCTGATTACTCCGTATAAATTAATTTTTTTATTTACAGATGCCAAGGTGTCTTGTCTCCTGCTATTTGTATTTTTGTATATTTGGATTGATGCAATTTACGGAATGTTAGGTGAATCGATCTTTCTGGAACTTGATTTCTCTTGTTCCAACTGAAAGGTGAAATCGCGGAGAATCGGAAAGCCGGAAAATTGCGTCTTCGTTTCCCTCTTTACATTAGTACGGATACAGACGGTTGTAAGGAGTATTCGTGACTTTTTCTCTTTTATTACACTGAGAGAAATATTCAATAAAAATTACGTGTATTTTCCGTAATTTTGGAGCGAAATGTGGTTGTCGGAAATTTTACGGAACTGTCACGTAATTTTTATCTAAAGTCACGGAATTTTTCCGCGATGTTCCGTAATTTTTATCTGAATTATCGGTGAAAAATAACGATACCGTCACTTAAATTTTTCGAATCAACTCCGTAATCGGTAAGTAAACTGAAAGTTCCGTAATTTTTACTAAATATTTCTCTCCGTGTAGAATGTTTTCGTCTCTTTCACTTGAGATTTTTTTTTCAGTTGGGTGAGAGAAGAGAGGCAGAGTGCATTCGCCTGCGGGCCAATCAGTGCCGAATCATCTTTTTTTCTGGGCTTTTATTTTTCCCTTCTGCTCTCTCGCCTTCACTCGATTCTCATCGCTCACCCTTTTTTTAGAGATTTTTTTTCCAACGTTTTTCAGACATCTGTTTGTTTCCTTTCTTCCAAGAATTTTGTCATAGGTTTCGGGAGATATTTATAGGAATCGATTATTATTTTCGAGAAGTTTCTTTCATTACTCGTTTGTCGAGTCTTCATACGACACATAATGATGAGGATTAACGACCTGGACGATAACTATTTTCGCCGGATTTTTTCGGTGTATTTTCAATCCCAGGGACGATTTGCTTAATCAATGAATCCAGTTATTACGAAAGCTGATGGGATTAACTGTTAATACACCGAGCGCTGTTAATATCACATACGATCTGTAATCCATATGACGTTGAATATGAGTCTGCGCGTTATTAAAACCAATTGCGCGTTACTTTACATAATAAAAGATATATTAAAAATAAATAAAAAAAATATATCAGAGCTTCATGCACTTTCTTTCGAGCGGGTCAATTTAATGCAGCATCAAATTTCGCCCAAAAACGTATGAATACGGATTGTGTACGCGATGCGTTTAGCCGCAAAGAATTGACATAAGCACAAGGAGGATATTTTTTCAGAATGCGGTGAAAATAATGCTGGGGTGAATGAAAGCTCTGCGGGGCTTGTGAGTAATGAGCTTATGCACTTGTACATTTTGGGAAGATGAAGACTGTTTATGTGGGCCACAAAGTCCCTCGTCCTTTTGAGAGTCGCGTGATATCGCGCGCGCCGGCATCACCACCACAACGACCCTGAATCGCCCAACTATTTCACCAAACACCCAAGTACCCCACCGCATTTACAGGGGGAGCAGTAGAGCAAAGAGGGGGGGGGGGGGGGGGGGTAAAGGAAACTTTGACCCGGAACTATCCTCAAACCGGCCCGACATCGACCTCCCTTTCGCACCTAATGTTCTGTACAAATCACTTGTGCTTAAAGTGGATGATGAAAGACGATCCCGGGGACTACCGAAGTCGATCGAGTTTCAATGGAACTGATCAGTTATTAAAATTACTCGTGAAATTTCAGTACAAGAATTTCAAACTCATGCAACCGTAATTTACCGTTGGATTTTTTTTTCCTGTCCTGAAACAGCTGGGAATATATGAGGGGTACTCAGTGAATTCGATATTCAATTATCGTGATGAGTAAAAATTCAAGGTATTCGTGAGATATTAATGATCGAGAATGGAAATCTTGAATTTGATTTTAATTTTCAAGATTAGTGGATTTATGGAGGGTGGAATTTTGAAGTTAATTCGAGATATAATATTGAGAATTCAGCTGCAATGATCAGCGAATATTACAACAATTAGCATTTCGGTGTTCTGTTTAGTGTAGGAGGTAAAGGTTTGATGTTGGAATGTAGTCACTTTGAGGATACTCTTGGCAGTTTCGAAAAAATATAAATAAAGATGGGGTGTCGATTTTTAGTCGACTTTGTGAGTAGAAAAATGTGTCACTCGGGAAAAAATGTTAAACTGAGAATTTTCGGCTCAATTATCGTGAGCGATTGAATGAGCCACTGCATCAGCGGAAATTAGTAGCAAGAACAGAGGAAATAATCGAATTACAATTTCTAATATCGTTGGCATAATTTACGGTGGAACAATAATTCAACTATAACGTCGTCAAAAACAATTCAATAAAGACGCAGTTCCTTACGCGAGTAGACACACGAAAATCTGTGCTATAACGACTATCTCCAGAGGAAGAAGCGATAAGTACATTGACGGTAGACAATTTCATAATTACACTTATGAATTCACCAATTTTGCGACATTACTCTGTACCCCTTCTGCCATTTGAAAATTATAACTCTTGGAAATTTCTCAAGAGCAAATTTCGCAGGCCACAAAACTCCCTCTTTGACTGTCAAATTATCCCGAGAGTCATTATTGCACTGTCGAATCGCATCTTAAACTTTATTTCCATGGGGTAATTGAAGTAAGATGTGTCACAATCTCCAACGATTCACCAACTGACACTTTTTAATTTTTCAAGACGAAGAATCCAATTAATCCAACGAGGAAAAATCCTTTCACCAATTAAGAAAAAAAATTCACCAACTTTATCGATGATTGAACAGACAACAAAATAATTGAGAGATTATAGCAATCAAGTTTTTTACAACCGCCAATTATTTTCGTACACGGGCACTTTAATTTTTCCACGCGGCGATAATTTACGCAATGAAGAAAAATCAATGTCAAGGAATACGGACGTGCGTTAGTTTGCCGATTTTCATAAGATTCATTAAAGAATTAATTTCGAAAACTGGCACCCCTCGGAAATGGCATTTGCACCCTCCAATTTGTACAGTGGGAGACATTAATACCGAAAATTATCCCCTGATAGGGAAATACGGATAAAACTTGATGAGGATCGAAGATTTGACAGAATGAGGATAAAAATGATAAAACATGGTGTTACCTGTTGCCAGAACTGTACGAGAAGATAGATCCTCTCCTTCTTAAACAACCAATCCATGGACTGCATGGCTTGCAGATCAAGTGAATTAGTCTCTGCAGAGGCTTGCATAGTTGCAAGAGCCGCTGCTGAGTTCAATGAATTAAGTATTGGCTGCTGTAGTGCCGCTGTCACCGATGTATTACTACCGGTTACCAGATTGGCGTGGTAAACGGTTGTAGCGGTAGCTGCATCATCAGTACCACCAGAAGCCAACAATTGGGCACCAATTGGCGCTGATGGCCCCTGGAGACCCAGTGACGAAGCCACTTTGACGGCTTCGATGTTCTTGGATGGTTTAAAAAAAATCCACCTCCGGTCGTCGTTCTCCACCACCTCACCCTCACTTTTATCTTTATACGGAGACACGACGCCGGATAATATTATTCAAATCACTCCAAATTATCACCAACTGTATACGTACTCAGTAATACAGCGTACATTATTCCACATCTATTTCTATTTTTCCTCAATGAAAAAAATGTGAAATATCTCTTCCCTGCACTAATTGTCACTGTTCATTTTCTATTTTCACTGAATACAGACGACATCTCGTTCTGTAACGTATCATTGCCTTGATCCAAATCGTTCACAATATTCCTCTTCTTCATCAACTGCTCATCTCAACGTTCATTATAATATCCACACTTTGATTAATGTCCATAAACAATACGCCCCCAGTGTTCACAGTACTCAATCACTTGTCAATAACTCGGATGTACTCATGAAATAATCACAATTCACCGCGGATCGTTAAAACTCAGTTTCTTGCCGGTGTGTTGAATAAAAAATTTGCAACATAACAGAACTTTCAAATGAAAACAACACTTGTCACGTTTCCAATGATCACTAGTCAATTTTCTTATGCTTTATTTTTCTCAACGTCCGTCACTTCTCTTCGAGAGGTGGCAGTGGTCTGTCAGGCACGTGTAAAAAAAAACGGTGAAAACTCCCACGGGTTATAATCCTTGATGATTGACTGACAAAAGCCAAATTACAGATATTACTTCACTCTCGATGACAATGAGTTTTCCGACGCACCACTCGAGTCAGTCCAGATCACTCAAAACTTTTCTCGAAAAAATCAAAATAAAGAAGAACTGAGTACTCCAATATAATGATATATTACACTGAATGATCATTGATCATTAATATCCAGTGGCCAATCACAAACAGGTCTGTTGAATTTTTTTTTCTTAATAAAACTGTCTTGTTATTAGTATATACACGATGATGATTAAAGCCCCCTGACACCACACAGTTGCCGCGTTTTAACAATAAATACTCCGGTGTGTGTTAACGGGTGCCTCAAGCTAAAGCCCAAGACCGTCCAAGCAGGCTCCTAACCTGAAACTAAGAGCTACCGACTGTTGGATCCAATCCATGGAGGAGGTGCTCAACAAATAGTGGGGGTAGGGCGTTAACAAATGACAATAGTGGGGGTAAGACGTCCCACTGAATAACCAATAAACGTGGCCATTTTATCCCCACTACTATCAACAATAACGCCCGTACTCGAGACAATGTTACCCTGGTGGGGGGTATTTTCATAGAGTGGGGAGAGACCGAGGGGGGGGGATGAGTACAGAGCGGTGAGCATGACAGAGAGGTAAGGGTGAATCTCACCGTCGAGGACGAGGGAATTAGAGTGGGGTTGAAAATAGTGTGGAACCGGAGGCTGGCTAGGTGGTCCCTTCGAAGCAAATCTCATATTTTCAACTCCCCGACTCTCTTCCTCCCGCCCTTTTACCCAACACCCTTCCATCACCTTACCACCCCCTTGCCATTTTTTTTTTCCCTCATTTTAACCCCCTCCTTCTTCAGGGCTATACTCTTCTCTCAGTCCGTCTTATACTAGTGTTATCCCTCTTTTACTCCGATCGCTTCTCCTTCTGTTCTATTTTATTCAGGTATATAGGACTTCAAGATCCTTCGGCCTCAGGTCGCGACGGTATCGGCTTCCACGAATTGTATGTCGATTAGGATAAATTATGATTCTTATCATCTCATTAGGAAGCGATAGGAGAATAAATGGGAGATTTCTTGATTTTTCTTTTTTTGCAGCTATTGTACTCGAAAAAATATTACGTATAAATAGATTGACTCATCGTTACAAAATCCGTACATTTCGAATACAAATATTTGTGGATATTTACTTGCGGAAAGAAATCACTTTTCAATGCAAGTGTCAGCAATTTTCAAAATTTGTTTTTCAATATTATGAATTTTTTAGACTGGGCTTGGGGGATGAATTTCTCCGAATTTTCATTACAAAATTGCGAGTGACGGATAAGAATTTGTTTGAAAAAATTGGAGAAAAATCATTTCCCATATATTTTTGTGCATTGGGCACATACTTGGGGTTCAATAACATTGTCTCATGAGCACCCACTATTTTTTGTCGCAAATGATTTTTTTGCTCATATCATTGAGGAAACCCTTATCCATGACTTTTTCTTAAAAATTGACAGTGAATTGAAAATAATCTTGACAGCTTGGAGTGAATAAATAAATAAATCATGTGAATTATTGAAAAATAAGGGGAAAAGTGTCACGACACGACAACAATTCCACTTCACTCTTTACTGATGCCTGCAAATAGCAACAAAAAAAAAACAGAAGTAAGAGTAAACGCGTGCAGATAATAGGCGAAGTGAAAAGGGTTAGTCTGGACGACCTGGCTTTTACCACGGAGGGGAATACCAGAGACCACTTCACACCGTGGTAAACTTACTGCCGTGTATACCCCATTGAGCCAACATCCAATATGTATTAATACCCGGAAAATGATAGTCATTTCGCCCCTACAAAATCCTCAAGAATCTAGAAATAAACGCTACAGCATTCATTAACACCCTCTCGACAATTAAAAAAATCAATTTTGCGAAATAATTATGGGTAAATCGGCGTGTTCCCTTTGAGTTATCCAAGTGCTTGTGGAAAAACCCTCGACACGGGGGAAGAGAGAGACCCTGTAACACCCAAGAGGCCAAGAGGAGTGCCGATACATTATAAAAAAATACATATAACATTCCTCTGCATGAAACCCTTCACTAACTCAGACGATTAAAAGCAATTTTTAACGAGGGTGCTTTCACGCATCGAAGGAAATTTTCAAACTCAACTTGACAAACCGCACGAATCACTTCACAGAAATTACGATGCACATGTTTATTAACGTTTCAATCTGACTCGAAACTGAATTCAATAAACTCAGATATTTTTTTTATGAATGTGAAAAAATCAGAAAACTGATGATCACACTAAGTGGATTTTTTCAAAAGATTTTTCAACACAAATTACTCGTTTATATTTGAATTGAGACGTTTACGTGGGGACTTTGCCCACGCCTGAGTGCAGAGAGTATGCTGTCAGCTGTGTAGCTTTTGCATTTAATTCAGTTTATAGCACGAGGATTAGTTTGTCAACGACTAGACACTTTCATAAGTTGAGGAAATGGGATTTCAACTCCTAAAACTACAATCAAAATTTTATTCAACGTTTTTTTTTTCCATTGCTTTTATAAAAACTTTTAATCTAGATTGAATTTTTTTTTTCGGATGAATTAAAATTTGACGAGAGTTGTCGGAATGTAATAGTTAAAAAGTCAAGTTTTATTGTTTTTTTTTTGCTTCGTCCAGCAGAGGGAATCATTTTCATTTGTCTTGGTCGCACGGTGCTCAATAGCTCAGTCAGACGTATATGTGATAAAGTGCGCCAGTAGCGCATCACTGTTTCTAAACACAATGCGAGTCCATCCAACCCGCGATTGTAACAATATATTCTTGGTAAAACACTGGGATGTACCACCACTATCACCCATTCCCCTGTATCATTCGTTATATCACCCTCAAGTTCAAGATCCTAACTCAGGGACAACACCGAATAAGGGGGGACGAGCTACTCCTCTTGACACGATCTCTTCACTAACGTATGAAAAATGTCGTATAAGCGAATTTTTACACCGGATAAGACTGAATAACATTGTGATAAATGAAAAAAGATCGCGATGGGATGAAGTAATGCATTTTCGAATAAAGCCATAAATATTCTTCCAAGTAAATCAGTCGTCACAATTGAAAAATCTCTTATTTCACCGAAAATGAAAAATTTCCTCTCTCTGTTTGTCAGCTTATGGGAAATTTCTGAGAAGTCATTCCGGAAGAAGTGGACAGTTTATCACTTGATACTCAACGTATCCGCAATACTTGACAAAACGAAAGAAAAACAATAAAAATTCCACATTATTTTAGTCCTTCAATGATTCTCATCGCGGAATATCACTGACTCCTGAGGAATGAGATAAAAGATAACTGAAATGAAGAAAAAAAAAAAAACTAAAGACGATGAAGTCTCATCGGATTAAAAGTCGTCAGCAAGGTTCGCTATCTCTCATACGGTTCTCATATTCGCGGACACATAAGGTCTCTCTCTTCCATGGATGCCCTGTCAGGGGGGAACAAGGGGGTTTATAAAGTTGGTTGACCGCTGTAACGTGTAACATACAATATACTCGTATCTGCGTATTCCACGGTCAAGTATCCAAAACGATCACGTTCACTGTCAGATCACAATCGTTAAAAAATATATTTTTCGCGAATTCCTTCCCAATGCCTTCACTTTCATCAGTCACCTATTATCAAAATTTCAATTGAACAATATGAAAAAATTCGAAAAACGAAACGGCCCGTCAAGTCTCAACTTTAGACTTCTCAACAAAATAATCAGAGTTGATTTGACAATTTTTTCATCATGAATGACAAAAATAATAATAGAAAAAAAATAACACATAATAGCAATTGTCACGGAGCACAATGTCACACAAAGATAGTGAGTGAAATGGATAAGGGTCCCCTCGTTGCGTAGGTGTTGCTGACAATCACCTGATTCCCACTGCTCTTCTTCTTCATTCGCATCTCAAAAACTCCCATTGAAAGCCCATTGTCAAACAACACTTATCCCTCCACGCACAACTCCCAATCAAGTGTTCATTATCTTTCCGAGGCGTCGAGAGACAAAAACTCGAACGATCCAATTCCACTCTTCAATCCTAAGAAAGAAAAAAAAAACAAAAAAAAAGAAAATTTCGAAAACAACAATTGCTTCAACGAATCTCCAATGAGAAATTTCCCAACACCCAAAACACCTCAAAAATCAGTGATCAATTTCGCATAATCGATCAACGGTTTGAAAAATAATAACAAATAATGAGTTTGTTATTAAACAGTTTGTACACGCGCACAGTAACAACTCAATTGGAAAGGAACGTGCGTGTGGCGACGGAACGAGTGAAACGTGTATTATACTCGATGCTACTAGGCCTGTGTTCTGGCCAAGACTAACGCGCTCGCGCCAGTGAATTTCTGCAGCCCTCGGGGGCTTTCGGCGCCGGTCATCCCTCCAACTTGCCACTCACAATACCACGCACTTTTAGCACAACCCCGGCGAAATTATTGGCCCCATCCGAGCGATATACGATGCGCACGAGAAACAAGGAGAAGACGAGGGAGAGAAACGAATAAAAAAAAAAGAAAAATAAAAATCTAAAAAATGTCATTGAAGTGTACGGGAATACGTGATGGTCTGGAGTGTCTCGGGGGATCTCAGTGGATGCGATCGAGTCACCCCCTTCGGCCCCTCTCGTCCCCCTTTTCCATCCCTTGGCCCAACTTACCCCGCGGAGTGTGTTTTTTGGGGGGGGGGATTTCACTGGCAAAAAGAGGGGAGAACTCAGTGACAGGGTAGTAGGGATTGTCCGTATTGCGGGATGTCGAGTTCAAGACAAGACTTATCCGGCAAGTTCCACTGGGGCCGGATTGTGGCGCCGCCAAGCGGTAAAACACCCGAAATAACGATATCGGAACGCGGGGGTGATACAACCCCCACTACCACATTTTCCCCCCACCAATTGACACCCACCCCTACGTGATCCATTCGAGATTTATCCCTAGTGCTGTCTCAGTTCCACCAATAGATTTCCCAGCAGCGCTCGCGCTCGTACGAATACCAACGACGAATACGTGGTTGGGGTATACGTTTGTGTGGAATTGTGGAGGTGGTGGGATATTGGGAACGGCGAGTTATTGGAAGTATCGGTGACTTCAACGGCCTGATCAGAGAGACAGGCTCTACCCCTTTCGGCAAGGGTGATCTCTCAAGGGGCCATTATCAGATGTGAGTAGATTCATTGATTTTAGACTGTCATTGTCAGCCACGGTATTTGATTTTGATTATTTAATTGAATCTCGCTGTCACCATAATTTGCAACCTGAAAACTCGATTACAGTGGAGTTCAACGCGCCGGATATTAGGCTCACCCTTAAATCATTGAGAGTCTTTCAAGACGATTCAATTAATTATTTTTAGCATTGCTCATTGCAGTTATTCGGGTTATCGTCGAAAGACGGGGATTCAATTAATAATGGGGAGATGGGAATTGCAGTGCTAGTTGTATTTTGATCTTTGGGAGTTGATTGAGTTGCGCTCGGGTATTGTTGTATTGTTGAATTTTGTGGATTTCCTTGGGGATGAGGTGGAGAGAGGTGAGTCTGGGGTTTCTTTCTGATCAACATCGAGAGTCAAATGCTCGGTGGTAAGGAGAAGGGATACAGAGGTACGAGAGCATGCGCTTGGGTGGGGTGAACTGGGGCGCAGGTTCTGACCCCCTCATAGTCTCCCACCAACGGTTAAATCCATCGTCCTACGTTTTCCACGACACTATTTATTTTAAAATCGTTATGCCCAACTCAACTTTTTCAATCAATTCATGTTTTTTCATCGCAATTTTTGTTTTACTCTTCTTCCATTGCGTGATGATTTCCCATGTGAATATGATTATAATTTGGAAGGATGGAGAATAAGTCGGCAGTAAAGTTTACTTTTTTATAATTGTGAACAAAAAAAAAGAGAGTCATAAAGGTTCGTTGGTAATGGAGAAATAGTATGTGATTTTGACAATGGGAACGAGAAATCTTTGAAGTAAAAATACATCCGGCAATAAGAAACGCATTAGTCAGTGCTAAAGTCTTAGTTGAGTGATTCTCGCGTTGAGGTGGACGATTTTTACGAGCCTCCAAAGACGTACGAAATCGATGCGAAATCATGGCAATTTCTCACTTCTACCTGAATGTTATACTCTCGTGCGCGTTTCCCTAATTACCCATTGTTTCCGTTTTCTCGAGTTCTTACTGTCTTTTTTTGTCAGATGTAAACAGATGATTTTAGGTCCCTCGGTTTTTTTTTTCTCTGCGATTGTGAGCGAGGCGACAAACTCAACAATACGATACTCACCTTTTATTTGTAGATGTGTCATGCTCGCCAATTGTAACGACAGCGGCAATGTAGGCCAGGATGCCCATGGGATCGTATTTCGGCTTACGATGCAACACTCGAGACGCCAGAGTCGTCGTGAGCTTTGAGATGTAGTCCCGGCGATTATAATAGCCGATGAATACTTGATTTTTTCCTGGAATTTTTATAATTACAGTGTTTGCTCTTCAGGTTCTCGGGTTGTCGAGGGTTTTAGAGTTTTCTTCCAGGACTCAGGTATTTTCTTTGGTTTGTGATGATTTTTATTATTGACACCTTTCATCGGTTGCGGTAGTTATCGGCATTACCCGTCACCTTCAGTAAAATACTCATTTCCTGGCCCATGTCACAATGAAAATTATGGAAAATTGGAAAAATTCTCGTTCTTAATGTGTAATTATTTCTGGTAAGTATGTCCTTGCTACTGAATTTTTTTTAATCTACCGTACAGTGAAGAGCGATTTGTCCATTTATTTTTTGTTTTGGTTATTTTTTAAATAATTTTGATTTACTGGAATTTGTTTTTCGTTGATCATAAGCTGAACATCGAGTGCTTCAAGTAATTCATGTCATTCCACGATGATATGGTCGATTACACGATGCTTTCTAAGTCTATTCCCAGTGTGATTACCTCTGTATTGAAAGTATGCAAGACCTTGATGCAATCGAAGTCATTCAGATAACGAAAACAACGGTTTGCGCTGACGAACATTAATTATGTCATTGATGTGCGTGTAATAATAAAAAAAAAAAGTGCGTGCGTTAATACAAACCTTCTTTATTTACGCACCTTGCGAAATATCAACGGATGTCATAAATGTTATTAATTGGTCTCATAATTCCAAGAATCTGTCCGGATATTTTTTTAAAGGATTTGGTGTTTGATATTTATTTGTATTCACAACTTCATTTTATTTTGCATTCATCCATTGATATCTCGATTGTCAGTATCAGAGATGTTTTGGCAGTTTGTTTTTTTCGATTGATTATAATTTTCTTCAATGATGAATAGTGGGGAGCCTTAGGAGATGTTCGAATCAACAACGCGGAAATCTCAGATTTGGTGGACCTTTGTGATTCAAATGAAGGTAAATGAGAATGCGAGTTACTCAATTGCCTACGGCCGTTTAACGATTTATTTATTTGTTTATCGAGGTTGTACGTGAGCTACACGAGTCACCAACCGATTTTTCGAAGAATTATTTGATAAATAAATACAATCAATGATATCATTCTTGTTTGGAAATATTTGGATTTTTACCTCATGAAATATTAACGGAGAATTTTGGGATCCGAAATATTTTTCCCTATTATTGCAGTTATTTTCCAAAAAATCGTGCAACTTAGAATTAGTTGAAGCGATTCTTTAATTATTAACTGGCCGACAATTGTCTATTTCCTGAAATTTCTTTAAAAATATCGTTTTTATTATAGTACAATTTAATCTCTCATGTGAATAAAACATTAGACTAGAATTACAATTCGAAATTTTAGAGAAAGGAATTAGCATAGCACCCATTAATTTCCGGTTGGATTTTATGCAACATTGAAGACATAAGAATGACTTATAATCTCGTATACATTAAAGTAACTCGTAATATTATTTCAACCAAGCTGATTTGGATGTATACGAGTGCGAGCTGTTCGATTAGACAAAAAAACGGGTTCACTGGGATATTATTAAAACTATCCCCTCCTTTCTTTTCTCTTTCGTCTCGCGTTTGTTAACTCGTATACATTAGCGTGTGAACGGTGGTAACTTGGTGATTTAAATCGAGTAACGTTTTTTTTTTACTTCGTTGTTTTCTTTTCTGGTGGTCGGATAAACAGCTTTGGGGTTGACAAACCCGATCGTTACATTCATCAATTCATTGTTCAAAAATTTGTGTTCAATTCACAAGAAATAAGGAAGATAAAATATCTTCATCACATTCACAACCAAAGAATCTCACAAATTCGCTAAAAAATTCTGGATTACTCATCAGCCATTAAGACATACCGCAATAAACACCCCTTATTGAGATGAATTAAAAATTCAACTAATATATATTTTTCGCACGATCCGGAGGTACACGGAAAGATACTTGAATTCTCAATGGGATGATTCGTGGGAGAGGAATTTAAGGAGTTGTTGGTAATAGCAAAATTTGGAGATATGAGCGGGAGTTTTTGAGACGCAAGTCCGGTGGTGATGAGAGGCAACGAGAGAGATGGCTGAGTCTAACAAGTTGGTAGAATGGGATGGAAAATACAGTGGTGTTTGCGGTGGAAAGACTGAGAAGTGAGAAAAGGAGAGGGTGGGAGTAACATTCCGGCTGAGATTAATTCAGAGCAAGGAGGAATTTAGCACCTATCTCAGCGGCCATCGCTACGGTACGCGCACCATGGGTACACACGTTTTATATACTATGAATGCTTTTGGTGTCGTGTGCGCTCATCTCCAACGGTTGTTTTCGCCCCGCAATTATTTCAGCAACATTGCAAAACAATCGACGAGCCACTGGCAGACTAGTGGTGGAGTATAGACCGTGTTTTAAGCGTGGAAAATTTAGGTGGGTCATGCGGTAATAGTAGGTGAACGTGAGTGAATAAATTATAGACGTCTTACGAAATTTTACAGACCACAATTTCTTCGCTTTTCTTGATTGTGAGGTAGCAATTGGTATTACTACGAATTAGGGTAAACGTAGTTATTTTTTTAATGAGATTTTTAGAGCACTTTGGTTTGTTCACTTTTTTATTTTTTATTTTTCCAGAATTTTCGAAATATCTCTGTAATAATAATTGCTTTCCATAATAAATAATAATGAACGTAATTAAATCGTTCAGATGATGACTTTTTCAAACGGATATGCACTCTTTAAAAAAAAATGAAATTTGATAAACAGTTTAGGAATTTCTGTAGTGAGGTCTTATAATTTACAATTAAACTATGATTTTTTTTTATTATAGTATGACCGCATAACGCACCTAGCCGTTATGTGCATTTTCT